TAATTGAAATGTTTACAAGATTTTAATTTATGGTGATAAGTGATGAATATTTGCAATAAGGATAATAAAGAATAATTGAAATGAATATTCATAATATGTTTTATGATTATTTTTGGTGAAATTTTTGGATATGAATTGGAAGAAAGATATCTTTGTATGTTTGGTATGTATTTCTTGATATAATGATTGGAAATTGAATTTGAATGATTTATACCTTCGAATAATTTCCCCGAATTATAGCCCTCAAAAAGTAGGTGTATGAATTCGGTGTTGAGGCGAAGCTTTTGGGTGATCTTGGTGTTTTATAAAGTCGCCTTCTTTATTCATCCCGCGGGAAGAAAAACCAAAGGATCGCCTTCTTTTGCAGAAGTTATATGCCATACGAATCGCACCCGACTCATACCCGAATTACGCACCTCTATACAGTCTCCCATCACTCTCACATCCTGTTTGTTTTGGTAGGGCCTGCAGAAGGCCACTGGTGTGCATTGTATTCAAAAGGATCGTGTCTTTGGTGGGATGTGGAATCTTTGGTAGAAGTTTATAATTGCCTAATTTTTCAGCAAACAATAATACATATTGTTGCCTATTGCCTCGGCGCAGAAATGGGTACATTGCTGGAAATCCAACCAAACCAACAATAAAATTTCAAAGTTGCGAATCATATACCGAATCATATCCCCTATTCAAATTTCCCGGCCCGACAACCGGAAAAAAGACACACCCAAATGATATTGCAATTGTTTGGATATGGTAAACAATCGTTATATATTTCGATTTTTAAATATGTATAACATACCTTTTAAATAATTAGCTATATACTAAATTAATGTTTGCATATAATTGAAAAAATACATTTTTCTTAATAGGAAGATTTATGAAACATTATATTACGAAATTTTGATTTACAATTAATTATGGTTGAAAAGATCATTTAGATATATTTTTGTTATTTGGTCAATGAAATCAAAAAATATAGTATATCAAAGATTAATGAATTTTTGTATATATATATTCTCTTGGGATAATTAATCGTATAATTCCTTGGAAAACGAAGTGGGTATGTATAAAATAGAATCTCAATAGAATCGTTATTTTCCAATTTAATTTTGTCGATCGTTTATCTTTTTGATGAATATTATTTCGTTAATTCGGATAGGTGAACATTAATACAATTTTATAGATTGTTAGAATCTATTTTGTAAAGATAGTTATTCTAATATCTTCATTTGAAAGAACTACTAATATATTTTTGTCTTAGGGGGATTGATTTTATAGATGAATTGATGGGTTTGGATATGGATTGATGAATTTATAGATATAAAATATGTCCCCGGGTATTACAAATGAATTTTTATAATGAACTTATGAAAAATATTTAGATAGATAGATAGATAGGTATAAATATATATACATATTTGATGGTATTTTAATTAAGATTACTTCATTAATATATATATTTGGATTAGGAAAATATTCTATATTGAATATGCAAAAGATATGCAAAAGGTCGTAATATTCGGGGGTCAAGAATAAGTTGATGCGGTCGCACAGATAAATCCTAGAATTGAAATGATTGTATATATTCGATATTTTTCGCAAATTGACTTTTAAGGCAATGATTTTCGTTGAAATTAGTTCTATGAATATATCGCCGTTAGAAGGAAAAATTTTAACGATATTGAATTTCAAATGCAAATTAGATTTAACTGATCTAAATTAGTTTGGACGGGAAATATTTTTTTGTTTTTGTAATGATTTTTTTGTTAAGTATGATTATGTGTGCGATATATTTTGTAGGTAAAGAAAGGTCGATATAAGGTCTATATTATTGAAATGAATGAAATTGTCTAAAAAAGAAGGAAAAATTTTGAATATGCAAAAAATTGATAGTGTAATCGTCCCGATGATATAATTAGATTACAGATTGTTATATAAAATCATTATTTCAAGAAGATTCCTGGAGGAAAAGCTCTCCACGAAAGATGATAGAATTCGCAAAAAATATGTTGGACGAAGAATGGTTTCTAATAAGAATGCGTTTTGACCAATTGAAATATTTTATATTTAGATATTTGAATTGGATTATTGTTGTATAGAAAATTTTATCAAATATTTTATCAATATTTTTGGTGTATATATTGATACTGATATTTTTTATCTAAGAATTTTTTTCGTTATATATGGGAATAGATATTGGTATTATAAATCGATTTTGGCGATCTATTTAGAGCAAATTTAATATTATTGATATATATTAAATATCTATATATATCAGAAATACAAAAATGTATTGGTATCATGTTTTATGGATAGAAATAGTTAATTGATTTTAGAATATTACATGTGTCAATAATATTTGGAATAAAAACATATTGATTAATTTGTTTTCTTTAAATTGTATATATATAGGTACATAATGAAATTATTCAATTTTTTGGAAGCATAGAAAATGCAATAAGAATTATCTTAAATTAATAATTAAATCCGATTATCAATTGATTATTTTAAATTAATATAATTGATTTTTTTTTGAAATAACATATTTTTGAAATAAAAAATATATATATAAATAATTTTTTCACGCGAATATAATATATGTCTATAATCTCATAATTATTGAATACGAATAGATATGTTTTTCTTTTCATATATATCGTTTCTGCGATTTCTTTAGCTTAAAAACCATCAATAAATGTAATATCGATTTCTCTGATTTTATGATTTATTAATATTTACTAAATTATGTTACCCTTGCATCGGTTATATTCACAAAATATCATAGAATCAAAAAACAATATATGAATCATTAAAAATGAAAATATAGATAGATATAGTGAATATTGTTAAATTGTATATTTATATATTTGATATATATAGTAAAGATAACAAATACGAATAATATATTTCATAAATGTTAAGGCCAATAATGATAAAAGTCAAATTATGCTATACAAATATTTAGAATATTTATATTTTATGCATCTTTAATTTTTTGTTGATCGATTATTTAATATAAATGTATGGATTATAATATTGAAAATATTTTTAATATATGTTATATATTCTATCTATTGAATTTTCATTTTTCGAGATTATTAGACTTGTTTCATGGTTTACAATGTCTTTATTCAATTCATTATTGTTTTAAATATATTCTATTATTATTAAGAAAAAACATAATGAAAAATATGTTATCAATGGAATATTAATAGAATATCAATAAATAAATAAATCAATAAAAACAATATTTCATATATATAGATAGATTAAAAAAGATTAATATCATATTGATAATATAGATGAATATATTTATATTTCATGAAATTTGAATACATATATATAAATATTAAAAAAATATATATTAGTATATTTCCAAATTTAAAAACGATTTTTTCAAAATAAAAGATTTGAAATATATTTTAACAAAAATAGAAGTGAATATTATATAATTAAATAATACATAAAATAACATCAATCTTGTTCATATAAATTCAAATGAACAAATAAATATTATTAAGAATGTCAATTTTTCGTTATAATTCAATTTGGCAATATTGCATTGTCAATATGGCGCGCACGTGTCAAGATTTAAAATATTAACAAGCATCTTGGAGAAATAACACAGGATGTATTCTCCGGCTGTCTATTCCAAAATAATAGCATTAGGTTCATTCATAATATAGGTTCGATTAATATAGCTATCCTAAATTATATAAAAAGAAATTCTGTACATTTATATGTATATATATCTCTCACACAGACCCTTAGACATAAAGCTACTGGAAAATAATATACAAATAATTAAAAAATAATGCTCCTTTTCTGTATTAGATCTCATAAATCACATGATAAAAATCGTAGGCACAAAAAAAAACATTAACACTAAAAAAGATATCCCGACAAGAGATCCCAAATAATGTGTGTGTGAGGTCTGTAAGCAGAAAGTCTAGAGGTCTAGACGTATTGGGGTCAAGAGAGGTGATGGTGGTGATGAAGTGAAGGTGGGTGTGAGTGAGTGTGGGTGAGAGGGAGTGTACGTGTGAGTGAGAGTGGGGAGTGAGTGTGAGTGAGTGTCGATCTGAGTGAGTATGAGTGAGACTAAAGGTGGGTGAGTGTGGGTAAGAGTGAGTGTAGGAGAGTGAGTGAGTGTGAGAGTGAGAGTGAGAATGAGAGTGAGAGAGTGAATGAAAGTGAGTGTGAGTGTGAGTGAGTGGGAGGGAGAGTGAAGGTGGGTGCGAGTGAGTGTAGGTGAGAGTGAGTGAGTGAGTGAGTGTGGATAGGTAAATGGGTGCGTGATCACTTCGATTTTCGCCTGTCACGAAATCTGCACTTCGAGGTTCCCCAAGTGTTACGCCTGCCACGAAATCTGCACTTCGACGTTCACCAAGTGCTGCACCTACCACGAAATCTGCACTTTGAGGTTCAGCAAGTGCTGTGCCTGCCGCGAAATCTGCATTTCGAAGTCCCCAAATGTTGAGTCTGCCACGAAATCTATCTATATTTCGAGCTTCATAAAATGTTGTGCCTGTCACAAATCTACACTTCGAAATTCTTCAAGAGTTAAATCTATCACGAAATCTGCATTTCGACATTCACCAAATGCTACACCTGCCACGAAATCTACATTTTAAGATCCACCAAGTGTTGTGCCTATATTTTAAAATTCCCAAAATGCTATATTTATAACGAAATCTACATATCAAATATTATAAATGCCTACCACGAAATCTCCAATTATTATATCTATTATGAAATCTTTATTTTACTTTTTGCATAATATAATTTCTTCAAATTTTAAAATATAATATTTATATATTTATATATATATTATACATATTGGAATTAATATATATATAATTTGTTTTTTAATTATTCAAATTTAATATATTTAGATTGAATTATATTAATTTACATTATCTTTAAAAAAAGAATATATATTTTTTAAATAAATTTAATGGTATTAAGGGCGAAATAAGGAATGGGATTCGTATATATAATTTCATCCATATTAATATAAGAAGGTCTTGTCATGGGCGATGTCGTCTTCAATTTCATTTCAGGCTTTCGTAGCTTCCCTAGTCAGAAATGCATCGGCATCTGTAGGCACCTCCCATCCAAAATCCAAGACCGTGATCAGAAAAGAATTGTATAGAGATTGAACACACAAGTTATCAGGATTGCAAGAACAGTTGCCAATGCTCCAGTTCCTGGGTAGATTCTCTTTGTTTGACATCCAGAAATGCCCTGCTTAAATGCTAAGAAAGTTGGTGGTTCCAACAATGCCCGCCCACCTCCACTTTCTTCTGCTGTGGGTCCTCTCGACCATCGGATTTCTCTTCTCTGGGCTTCTTGCCCATCAGACTCACCCGCTTGGCAACGTAGCGTACACCAACATCGCTCAGCCTTGCCAATGGCACGAAGAGACGAAGGGGAAATAAATCTTCTCCGAAAACCTACTCCACTTCTTTATTTACTCTACTCTTCCACCGTTCAAAGTCACAGTGAGAGATCCCTTGACTGACTGAGATGCCAACTCCGGCCACTTGATTCGCAAAGCCTTAGGTTGATGAATGAACTGACCCGCAACCTCTTGACCTTGACTGCCTGCCCTAAAGGCTACGATGTTCATCTGGACCCCTGCTCCTTTAAACACCGTAGCACGTCCGCCCTAGCACACAAAGGAAACTGAAAGGACAACGAAGCCCTGTGCCGAAAAGAACCTCAGCATTCTTTTGCTCCACAGTTGTTCCTCATTGTTCCATCTCATCATAGGCCAGGCAGCCACTAGGACGACCAGAACGACTACAATGCTCCAGCCAAAACAAGGTAAGAACCAGCCACTTGCTTTCCCAACTTCGTGCTGCGAGGGAGCAGAGCCTCAGCCACTGGCTACTTACTGCAATTCTCTCAAGTGTTAAATGCATTTCATAATGTCTCATGGTGCCCGTGTTAGGGAGTTGAATTTGACTCCTCGTGCACGCATCAAACATCCGTGTGTTCTGCACATGTCTGTACACGGGTACTGCTTGAGTGCTTTAGAGCTCAGGTCATAGATAAAGCCTTCCAGAAATGATTGAATAAACCATAATAATCCACTCATTAAACTTGATTGGTGAAAAGTAGTAAGGACAGTATCATGAGGTCAGAATGTAAAATTAATGTATGCTGAGGTAGGATTAGGTTGACAGAGAATTGCGAACAAACTTAAATAAGCCTAATGATTAATGTCACGATAAATCACAACTACATCAACTGCCTAAACCTTTACCTTTGCTTTCATCTGAGTCGGCCCAAATATGCCCCAGCCAAGGCACTCTCCGTAGCTCTGCTCGTGACTGCGCCACTGGTCACATTGGTCGGTAGCTGTGCTGTCTTCCTAAGTATTTACCGTAAAAGGGCAGGTCCAAACTGTCCAAACCAATGGGTTCTCGGATCACATTTGGTTCAGTAGGAGGACTTTGTGGCACAGGTCGGGTCACAAACATGACAACTACTTCCAGCAATATCCCTTCGCCACGAAGACCCTTCCCCAATCGGGGAGGAAACAAGGATGTTAAACGTCGCTTCAAACAGCTGATCATTACAGTGAAGGGAAGGGCAACATATTTACTATCACTGCGCCATGTGAGCACGGCAATACGTTGGCATATGGCATACTGCATGTGCCCACACATGTGCAAGCATGTGCCACTCTGGAGCCTGCCAGCGTATCAGCGCGACAGCATGACCCAACTTCAGACTTCAGCATGTTGGCATTCACATGTTAGCATGTGCCAGCATGACATGTCAGAATTACGCCATTACTATGTACCATACCAGTACCATACCATCATGTCGTATCTGCAAAGTGCTCCGGAACTGGCACCGGAACCTACCCCGGAAGCTCTGAGAAGAACCTGCCCCGGAACTTGTTCTGGAACCTCTTTACTTTACTATGGCTGGAGACGCTGCCGGGGAACTAAAAGAGAACAAGTGCCAAACACCTAGACCTAAACATTAAACAAAACGTGTGAAAGCAGGGCCTGACATGAGGCCCAAGGATGCAATTGCAAAGCCACATGAAGTGCACTAAAGTAGTGTCCAACACAGGACACGGGAATTGTTGTCACGGAGAGAAGGCACGTGGCAAGATGATCCTGTCGGAACATTAGAGTCTGAGTGAATCATATAACTGGAAGAAAGGTCCTCACAAAGGGCATTGAGCTCTGACAATCATCTGCCAATGCAAAAGCAGGAGCATGCAAACGGTGACCTGAAACGAAAACGCAGTGAGAGTGAGAGCAACAGCAACTAGGTCGGAAATCCATGGACTAGAAGGGAGACAACAAAAAACATCTCGTTCTATGAATAGAATATACAAGATTGTGTAGTTGAGAATGCGAAGTGAACAAAGAACAGTGAAGAATGGCGAAATCCAAGGCCCCTTTGATCACTGACATGGCCATCAATCGTTCTTGCCATTCTTCTGTTCCGTTCAGCTTCCAGTTGACTCTTGCGGCGGTGCTGTTCCCTTATCCTTTCACTTTCCTGTTCCTTCATGTGCCTTTGCTTCTTGCTATTGTGCAACCCCTTCTGCAGGCTCTTCTGGAATCCATGCTCTATATCGTGGGCTTGCAAGTTTTGACGACTTTCACTTTGACAATATTCTTTGGCTCGACGTCACCCTGTTTCGTTTTATACACAGTAGCCGCTTTTGCTTTTTTGGTCGGCTGCCCTCCATTGTGTGGTTCACGGCCAACTAGGTATGCTCAAATCACCTGGAGACACGGTCTTGCATATGTGAATCAACCACCCCAACAGCCAAGCTCGACCGGCAGCCTTGCTTTTCAAGCCACTCCATGCTTTTGAGGGTATCTTTCGACACAGCATCCTCGGCCAAGGGCAGATGCTGTTCCTTAAACTCAGCCATTCCAGAACATTGTTTGCTATTCTCCTGCATAGGTTGCCGGTCAGGATCTTCATGGTCTTCTCGTGCGCCATGGTGAGGCTTGGATCTTCCTTTGTGAGGGCGGTCTTCTTCATCCTCCTGTCAAGTCATCTTGGTTTCCATGTTCGATCGTTCAGTGCATCATCCAAAGGCGGGAAATATATTGTTGCAAGCTTCAAAGCTTCTGCACCAGCTCGTTGCGGCTAAATTGAGCAACAACATTGACAGGCCGGCCTCCCATGCCTGGTCCCCATCTTCAACCTTCAGGGTGCTGTAGCTTACAACACTGCGGCTGGAAAAAAGAAGTCGGATAGAGCACCTTAGACTCTAATTCTGGTGAATCTGGCTTTCAAGGAAAACCTCATAGCAGCCAAAGAAACATGAAAAGTATCCTTGAAGTTTGCCAAGATTAAATATTTTGTTGTAGGAGATGCTTATATATATATTATACATTATTAACCATTATTATACAAACTCTTTCGTTGCGCCTCATCACGAGTATTCCTCCTCACGTGGTGACGCCGTTCCTTTGGCTCATCTCCGTCCAGCCGACCATCATCATCCGAGTCAGAAGCATCCAAATAATCTTCCTGGCAAAGTGTCAGATTTGTTTGTCTGGCCTTGTGGCCATCACTATTAGGAGGCCATCGCTTCTAGGTTGGAGGCCATCGCTATTACGTTGGAGGCCACCGCTTCTGGGCTGGAGGCCATGGCTATTACGTTGGAGGCCATCGCTTCAAGGCTAGAGGCCATCGCTTCTAGGTTGGAGACAACCGCTATATTAGGTTGGAGGTCATCGCTTCTAGGTTGGAGGCCATCGTTTCTAGGTTGAAGGCCATCGTTCTAGGTTGGAGGCCATCGCGTCTACAGTAGGTTAAAGGCCATCACTTCTAGGCAGGAGGCCATCGCTCCTAGATTGGAGACAGTCGATATTTGGTTGGAGACAATCGGAGGCCATCGCTTCCAGGCTGGAGGCCATCGCTTCTAGGTTGGAGGACGTCGCTTCAGGTTGGAGACTAATCGCTACTAGGTTGGAGGCCATCGCTTCTAGGTTGGAGATAACTATCAGGTTGGAGCCCATCACTTCTAGGCTGGAGGCCTTTGCTTTTACGTTGGAGGCCATCGCTTCTTGGTTGGAGATAATCGCTATTAGGTTGGAGGCCATCGCTTCTAGGCTGGAGGCGATCGCTTCTAGGTTGGACGCCGTCGTTTCTAGGTTGGAGACCATTGCTATCAGGTTGGAGGCCATCGCTTCTAGGCTGGAGGCCATCGCTATTAGGTTGGAGGTCATCGCTTCTAGGTTGGAGGCCATCGCTTCCACGTTGGAGGCCATCGCTTCTAGGTTGGAGGCCATCGCGTCTAGGTTGGAGGCCATCGCGTCTAGGTTAAAGGCCATCGCTTCTAGATTAGAGGCATCGCTTCTAGGTTGGAGGCCATCGCTTCTAGGTTGGAGACAATCGCTATTGATTAGGTTGGAGGCCATCACTTCTAGGTTAAAAAACCATCGCTTCTAGGTTGGGGGCCATCGCTTCTAGGTTAAAGGCCATCGCTTCTAGGTTGGAGGCCATCGCTTCTGGGTTAAAGACCATTGCTTCTAGGTTGGGGGCCGTCGCTTCTAGGTCGGAGGCAATCGCTATCACGTTGGAGGCCATTGCTTCTAGGTTGGAGGCCATGCTTCTACGTTGGAGGCCATCGCTTCTAGGTTGGAGGCCATCGCTTCTAGGTTAAAAAACCATCGCTTCTAGGTTGGGGGCCATCGCTTTTAGGTTGGAGACAATCGCTATTAGGTTGCAGGCCATCGCTATTAGGTTAAAGGCTATTGCTTCTAGGTTGGAGGCCATCACTTCCAGGTTGGAGGCCATCGCTATTCCTTTAAAGGCCATCGCTTCTAGGTTGGAAGCCATTGCTATTAAGCATCGCTTCTAGGTTGGAGGCCTTTGCTTCTACAGTAGTTTTTTAGTAGTTTTTACTTCTCGTTTTGAAGAGACAAATGCAAAGCGGACCTGAATAGTCCGGCCATCGTCCGTGCTTTCATCATCGGAGTCGTCATGACGACGAGCATGCTTTTTGTGGCGGTGATGAGGGGCCTCAAGGACAAAGACTGGAAAGGCCCTTGAGCCTTGACCTTGCCTTTTGCAACTCTTCTCCCTGTGGCAATACATCAACAACGTATTTCACACGTTCCCTCATATGCGCGGCCTCACGATCACGGTCGCGGTCGTGGCGCCTTGGCTCAGTTTGACTTTCTGAAATGTAGCATGGCAGTGCGGCAGCATGTGGATCAAAACCGGGCTACCTGGGTTGACCACCAAAAATGATAGAATGGACTATTGGGGAGGTCAACCTACCCTGGTTTGGCGATACGTGTTTTGACTCACGGCCATGTAGCAATGTAGTAGCACTGTTCTGTCAATGTCTTCCAAACGATTGACAGGCCTCTTACTCTGCATCCGTCATCTTAGATCTATCCAGCAAGAGGTTGCTCATCCTGCGTCCATCTACACCACCTGTCACCTCCTCACAGAAACCTAAAGTTCCCAAAAACACATCCAACACATCCCCACACCACACTGTGACCTCCTTACAAAAACCTAAAGTTTCCAAATATCCAGAATCCAGAACTTTAAGCTCTCACACCCCTTTCCCTTGACCATGCAACATCAATGTCGGAACCATCGAAACATAAAGTTCATTATGGCTTGTGATTGTGTTGACGTGTGAACTGAAAGAGAACTGTCAAAGAGAGCGCTCCTTTTTCCAGTGGTGCGGGGAACATCGATGCATGGTGGATCGAACAATACGCCACTCGAACACTGCAGCTGTGTTCGCTAGATTTTGCAGTCGATGCACCTATAGGCTCCGTGGTTTCCTTGCCAAATTGCAAAACGAATCATTGGCCTCCACCGGCCGAAGCCGAAGCGATGGTGTAACTCCTCCGGCTCAAACCAACCTTCAAGTACCAAGCTCCTCTCTTTCTCAGATTTATCCCAAACAACCTGCACCTTGGCAGGAGGCGGCGGGCGCCGACGCAGAATATCTTGAAGCCATACCAGGTTGTCTTTTACGCTGAAACAACTAGCTGAAGACTCGCCAAGAGAGGGAGCACTACGATAAATCCCAAAAGAAGGCAGAGGACCAACAATTTGAACCCCTTCACACAAGGCAATGGCGGCACCTGTGTCCGGCCAAGCTACGCTGAGGAGCAAGGCTTCTATGTTGGCAGGGAACAAATGAGCACTTACCCGATGTGAGGACTCACACCTCCGAGCGTTGAATTGCTGGTGCATCGCCTTGAGGGAAGAAAGCAGGCGACACAAACACTGCCATTGTTTTTCTCTCCGTGACTGAAGGTTGGCGCCCTGGGTGGCCACGATCCGCACAGCAAAGTCTGGGTCGTCTGCAAGAGGCACAGCGACCTGAAGCGGTGATCTGACTGCTTCAGCTAACATGACACGCGTTTCGGGAGGCAACCCAAATGGGAGCAATCTGCGGTCGCTCACTGCAAAACCATCGGTTTTGCGCTGTAGCCCCGCCAGCAGGCCTAGCAGCCTGGTAGGTGTTCATGTCTGCCCAAGCTGGACCAACAGTGCGGACAGGGAGCCCTCTTGTCTGCCTATCAACAAGATAGGGGCCTGCGTCTCGAGCAGTTAAACAAATCTCTGGAAAGCCGTCATTGGTGAAGGTTGGGCCCACCTCGCCAAGGATTTGAGTTGGCATTTTGGGCTGTGACGTCTTGAAATGACTTGCAGCTGGCTGCCACAAGCTCAACCACACACTGGCAAGGCTTTTGTGAGCAGGGAGACCCTCCTGCGCTCAACGCTGTTGCGGTCGGTCGGGTCACAGGGAGGCAGTTGCAGCTTCTGCGTACCTGAACAATGTTTAAAACACCTCTCGGGCAATGAGCGCGCGACGTGCATCAGTGCGAAGACAGACAGCAATGGCCTTGGCGGCATCCTGCAACGGCGCAAATTCTTCGTAGCCGTGCCACGAGAAGTTCCATCCGTTGGACAGGAAGTCCTCTGGCTTTGGAGCCGGAACAAAGGGCGTCGCACAGTCGTCATGCCACAAGAGCTTACAGGCCCAAGAAGGCTCAAAGCTTGTGAACCACCACGTTCGGCTTTCAACCGGACACGCACGACGCGACTGCACCGCAAAAACGCAACCCCCAGGCGGTGCTGGAGCAACTGCGCGTGCTTCTGTGAAGAAGCGGCAATCATCCAACAAAGGCGAGAGGGCATTGTTTGCACTAAGGGACGAAGTACTCGAAGCACCTCGGAGGATGCGCTAGTAGCAGCTTGAGGCGCAGGCAAGCAAAAAGGAGGCACACTTTGGCAACGTGCCCTCAAGGTCCTCTCTGCGCAAATTGTGCAGAGAGCCGAGGTGTTGGCTTGCAGGAAAAGTCGCCCTAGCCACACAAATTTCATCGCGGCAGCTGGAGCACCTCGAGTATGTGGCCACGTAAGGCGTAAGGCATTGGCAAAAGGCAACGCTCCCCCCCAAGAGCTCTAGCAAAACGAGCCTGTCACACGTGCCCGCTATGTCTGGGCTCCCTGGCCATGCCCCGGGCGCCAGGCAAGGCCTGCCCATCTTGTCAAGGCTTTGTAAACGGGGTGACCTGCCCACGCAGGCTGCGAGAATGCGAAGAGCTGGCACATATACTTGGCCAGACTGCAGCAGAACATCACAGGCATGAGCCTATTGTTGGGGCAACGCCGATCGGGGAATCCTCTTGCATCGTTCCAACGTTTGCAGATCTCACTCCCGGACGGGAGTTTGGTGCCTGTGGCTGGTTTGATTTTGAGAGCCGTGGAAGCAACCTTCGAACCGTCACTGCTGGAAGCTGCTTTGCCACGACTCAGCGCCAGGAGGGCCTTGGCATCTGCCCACAAATGGCTTCTTCTTTCCAGGCATGAAGCAAAGCAAAGCCCCACGGCATGGAATCGGAGCGGCAGCACTCAATGGCGGTGGCACGAATCTTTTCCTCAGTCTCTAAAACGTAAGCAAGCACTGCGTCTTCAGAGAACTTGCCTAGTGCGTGCCAGGCTTTGGGTTCTAAGTTGCTGATGTAAGTGCAAAATTGCTGCCAATGACAAAACTTGACTTGCTTGCCTTCGCCAGGGACATCAAAACAACCTGCCACGGCCCAACCCAAGCCTAACACTCGAAAACAAGAAAAGTAGGTGCGCAGTTTGTTGGCGCCCTCCAGGGATCTGCAAAGTGTCTGAAACACGATGTTTCTTGACCGGCTGCGAACGCTGCCACACTCCGCGCGCGAAGGACGGCAAACATGGATGGTTGCCAAGCGTCAAACTCACACGGAGCGCTGCAAATGCGCAAGCCTCAATTCTGCAAATGTCAAAAGAAGCCAAGTCAGGCTACGGCTCTGCAAAAGCGATTCCAAACCATGAAGGAACTTCAAACAGAGCGGCTTGGCCTGAGTCTCGCTGTGAGACTGAGGCGCAGCAGGCTGGCCAAATACCTGTCAGAGGAACCTTCTGTTCGAGCCATGTCATGGTGTTGTAAGCCCCGTGAGGGGCGGTTGGCCCGCGCTCTTTCAAGGAGTGCAACCACGAAGCAACATGAATGCTTGAAGGCTGCCAAGGGTCAGTGTCACAGTCATGGCAATGGCGTCGCCAACGGCGCACCAAGCGCACAGCGGACTGCAGGGTGGTTGTACCAGACACATGTCATCAAAAAACATGCTGGCAAATTGCCCTTGGTCAACGAGAGAGAGGGAGGCATCAAACGACGTCGCTGTTGAAAAGAAGGAGCACAAGACATTTTGGGGACCAGTCTTTGCAACTGCGTCGATTGAACTTCTTTTCTGTCGCCGAAGCTGTCTGAGGCTGCGAGACAGAGGCAAGCACAGCACGTCTGACTGCGACAGCGCAGGCACCTTGAGCTGACAACCAAAACGAAGCCAGGTCTGCTTGCAAGTCAGAATCCGGACACGCAGCAACAAATTCAGCAGAGGTGTCCCACACATTTGTGTCAGTCACTGAGGTCACGCCATGACGTCGAATATAGGCTTGCGCCTGGTCAGTCAAAGACGTAAACAGACTTTGCAACGCGGGGAGAAAATCTCCACGCTCTCAAGCATAGCCGCCGCCTTCAACAAACAACACTGGAATGTAGACTCAGGGCTCCCGAGCTAGTGGCCTCTCAAGAAACTCTGCAATGGATGACTGCATCACAACGAGACCCAGCCATGGGGCCCACAGTGACCAGTGAAAACAGACAGGGCGGAGCCGGAGCTTGAGAACATTGCCGGCGCAATGCATCGGCTGCGGGTTGAGATCTCAAACAACAATCATAATCAAAATGCAATAATATCCACTCTGCACCCCTGGCAATAACCAACCATACAGACTGGAAACAAAAATCTCTGGAACCTTAACTCTGACTCTTTCCTTGTAGGACCACATGACCTCCATGCCAAAGCTACTGAGAGTCTCCCGTCTGAGTCTTCAACGTATGTTTTTTTGTTTGTGGTTTGTTTTTGTTTGTGTCAGTGTCCGTGTGTTTGTTTTTAGTAGTGCAGTACAGTAGTAGTCACGAGGTTCCATGAGCTTCTCATCTGCCGTCAAAACACTTGCCCTTGCCAGTTCGCACTGCCGCTTGACCTGAAAGTGTGAGATGCATTTTAGAGGGAAACTGCTTCACTCAGATTTCATTGGGGTAAATTCACTGAGCACGCAGCCTGCAGCTCCACCGGAAGCCTCACAAAAGCAAGGAAGGTGCCTCTCTCTCCCTCTCTCTCTCTCTCTCTCTCTCCCTCTCTCTCTCTCTCTCTCTATCTCTGTCTCTCTCTCTCTCTCTATCGCTCTCTGTCTCTCTGTCTCTCTCTCTCTCTCTCTGTGTCTGTGTCTCTCTCTCTCTCTCTCTGTGTCTGTGTCTCTGTCTCTGCTTCTGTCTGTCTACTATGTTGATCCACAGGTCTTCCAACCGGCAACCAAGAGACTGCAGATTTGAGCTCCACAAAGGCGTTGGGCCGCAAAGAGTCCTGCCACGCAGGAAATATATAGCTGATGCTAAGTAATTATAGCTTCAGGATTTTTGGTCCAAAGAAATCCGCCCGCGCTGAAGGTGCCAAGGCGGAGACGCACTATCAGCGTTGCTTAACAAGCCCCAATTGCTTCAATGAGGTTTTGTTCTACAATCACTATCGTTGGATAGAGCCTTTGAGTTCCTCTATGGGTGTATCTCAAGTGTCTTTTCATGAAGTGGTGGATCGGCACATCTCAACTTCGTGCTTCATGGAAATCTCTGGTACGTGCGCTCTCAGTGGCGAAGCGACGTGAACACCTCTTTCTCCAAAGCACTAGCTAGGGTCATTCCATCCTGGCCCTGGCCAGCATGCAAACCAGTAAACCCGATACAGCTATGGTGATGTGTACGCAACTGGGCATACACGGCCAGGCAGCTCACCGCTAACATAACGCTTCTCCCTCAAGTACTTAATCACCACATCTCTTATAAGCTCGTGATGCAAAAGCACGCATGGGCTGTTGTGGAACTCATTGACGCCATCTGCTGCGATGTCGTGAAATATG